TGATCTCTGTTCCTTCTCATATCCTGATGGCTTCCCTCACACATGGAAGGAACACTGCAAAGACTTGGCCAGACTCCCACTCACATACTGAGATGCTCCTGCAGGAATCCGGAGAGGCTCTCACTCACCCTGTCTACTCTTTCCTAAGGTTTCCTGCTTCTCACTGCCAGGAAGTACTTTATATCTAACTTGGCTTTTTTCCTAATATGTTTAAGGATCCTTTCCTCTGAATCTGGCTCTGAGTAAAATTGCAGAATAGTAACAATAACAAAGAAAGCAGGACATGATGAAGCTAGGCTACATACTACTAAAAACAAATGACTGCCGGGCACCAGTGGCTCATGCCTATAATCCTGGTTACTCAGGAGTTTGAGATCTGAGGATCCCAATTCAAAGCCAGACTGGGCAGGAAAGTGGGTGAGATTCTTGTCTCCAATAAACTACTCAGAAAAAGCTGGAAGTAGCACTGTGGCATAAGTCGTAGTGCTAGCCTTGAGCAAAAGAAGCTGAGGGACAGCACCGAGGACCAGAGAACAAACCCCAGGACCGTTAAAAAAAAAAAAAGTCAACCAAGTGCAGAATGCCTGCTCTGTATCACAGTTTCTGAGAGAAACATCCTTGAGTCATGTTCCAATGTCCTCTTCCCCAGAAAACAAACAAAAAAAGATAAATACCAAATACATAGATAAAAACTGATAAACACAAACCAAAAAAGAAAGATTCCTGGGGCTGGGAAGGTGGCTCAGTGGTAGAGCGCTTGCCTTGCATGCATGAGGCCCTGGGTTCAATTCCTCAGCACCACATAAGCAAAAAGAAAAAAGCCAGAAGTGGGACTGTGGCTCAAGTGGTAGAGCGCTAGCCTTGAGCTGAAGAGCTGAGGGACAGCGCCCAGGCCCAGAGTTCAGGCCCCACGACTGGCCAAAAAAAAAAAAGAAAAAGAAAGATTCCCAAAGTTGAAAATGAAAGAAACCTAAATTATGGGAGAGATTTCTTTAAAGAAAAGAAAAAGGGAAAGAGAAAAAAAAAACAAAGAAAGCATTAGAACAAATCAGAAGGAGATGGGGAGAGTGAGAAACTATTAACAGAGCAGGGACATCAGGAGACATAGTTACCAAGGGCTTCAATGAACAAACTGCAAAATAAAATGAGGAGAGAAAAAGACAGATAAGGAAAGAGTCTGGGATGCCGACCAACAGACTGGGCAGGCCATGTCTTTCCCCTAGTTCTAGAAAGGAAAGACTGACTCGGGTTGTCTCTCCCTCCCAAGTTCGTGGAGACAGCTGTGCAAGCAGGCTGGCCATCTCTGCCACACCCAAGCCACCTGCAGCCAGTACCAGAGGGCAGGTTGGGAAACAGATGAGAATGGAAATACAAAGGGGAGATAGGCAGAAGCAAGCAACAGAAGGGAGACAGGACAACAGAGGCTGGGCTAGAGACCTACAGAGGGAGACTGAGCAAGAAAGGGGTTCATGGAGTCAAGATCTGCCACTTTTCTCCCAGAGCCTCAGTGTACAGACCCCAGGAGATGTGAACACACATGGTCACTGAGGTAGCCAGGGAACATTCACTTCTGAGCATGCTCATGAAGAAAAGGTCAGCTTCACAGCAGAAGTGAATTCGCTCACTGACCTTGTCCATGAGCTTCGGCACACGCTGAGGAGGACATTGGCTGTGCGGGTTTCAGGCTTCCAGGAGGAAGGTGGAGGTTCAGAGTGAGTTTGCAATGGTCCCGTTGCAGAGTGGCTGCTCACTTATAAGCATGGGCATCTTGGCTCGCCATGCCTTCATGTATTCCTCCTCCTTTCTCATCTCATTCCTTCCCCTCTCTCCCCTCCTCCATCCTTCCCCCCTCCCCCCTCCACACATACACACACATTGAGGCAGGCAGCATCTTCTAATTGGTTACTATTGGGAGACAAATTGTAATAAAGCCAACTTCCCTTTCTTGAGGACTGGCTATTCCAATGGAATCCCTAGAGATATCTTGTACCATTCCTTTCTAAGACTCTGTTGTGAGGCTTTGTCCAAGGCATGTGGCCTGGAAGGCCTTGTAGAGTCCCAGGTTTATCTAGGAAATTTATGGTCACTCTACTAGATAACTTTATGGATAAGGGGACCTGCAAATATGATGATCCTTGTGTCCTAGGTTTTGAATCTGTGTCTCCTTTAACTATTATTCTTTGATTTCCAAATTAAACCTTCAATTGCTTTTCTGCAAGGGTTTCTGCTGACTTAATTCCTATTCCTGTGTCCTCAAGCAGACATGTCCCACTAATATTATACTATGTGAAAATGAGCAGTAAAGGTCTTAGCACCCATGCTGTACCAGGACCATATTAATAAATAGACAAAAAAGCTCCTGGATTCAGCATATATATACACATATATATGTATATATGTATATATATGTATATATGCTCAAAGCTGATGCTATACTACACTGTCACAGCTCTACTTTCTGCTTTTTGACGGTTAATTGGAGATAAGAGTCCTAGCCCATGCCTCAGCTGGCCTCAAACTGTGGTCCTCAAATCTTAGCCTCCTGAGTAGCTAGAGTTATAGGTGTGAGCCACTGGTACTTAGCAGTCTTTCCCCATAATCTTCATCCTTTCTACCTCTTCAATAGCAAAATTATCTTCTTGAAAGCTATAATACCCTTCCTATTTCCAATCCATTCACTCTTCTTGCAGTATCCTTTATGGTACTGCCAGTAAATTCTGCACAGTCCAGAGAACTCCAGAAATTCTCTAATGTCCTCAATTCTCAGCCAACTTTTCTACTTGAAATCATTTACATTCCTAATAAGGGAGTGCACAGCCTTGTCTTTTCTTCACATACTTGTCAAGATTTCTTGTTTTTTAATTTTTATTTTTTTTGGGTCCAGTCATGGGGCCTGAACTCTGGGCCTGGGCACTGTCCCTCAGCAGTTCAGCTCAAGGCTAGTGCTCTACCACTTGAGCCACAGCGCCACTTCTGGCTTTTTTCTTTTTTTGCTTATGTGGTGTTGAGGAGTCAAACCCAGGGCCTCAGGCATGCAAGGCAAGCGCTCTACCACTGAGCCACCTTCCCAGCCCTAGAAGATCAATTTTTAAAGAGGACTTCATCAGCGTAGGAGATAATAGCATCAATTGGTAAGTGGCAATATATTAGACTAGAATATATGGACACCAATGGCAATAATTACCAAAGTGAAGAGATGTCCTATACAATGAGAGGAAATTGTTGCCTGAAAAGGGACATTAAAAGAACAGAATATGTAAAGAACTGAAAAATGTAAAGAAATATGTAAAAAAAACCTTCAGAAAACACCCAAGAACAAATACTTGCACTCATTACTTGACATATAACAGTAACCCTTTTGCATTCTACCTTTACAGTTAAAAAAAAAAAGAACACATACTGTCTTTATCTAGGCATACAAATGAAACAGTTCTTAAATTTATTTGGTTTTTATTGTTTAGCCAAGGAGTAGCAGTGAGCCAGCCAGGAATGTAAAGTTGGTGAGGGTGGATGTATTTGGTTCGAAGTAGGACAAAGGAGAGAATTTGAGTAGGAATCTATGTTAGAGGTAGATTGAAGGGCATGATTGGATAAGAAGCATTCTATAATTTGAAACAATTCAAAGTAGTTAGGCTTATCCCAGATAAAGACAAAGAGGTTTTAGAGAAGGTTTTATTACCTCCAATGCAAACAGAAACCCTGCCAACAGGTGCGGTGATGATAGTTGTGCAGAAAGAATTTGTATTCTGTTTTCTTTTGTTTTTCTTCCCTATTAATACTTTTTGTCATTTTTTTCTGCCTCTTTTTAGTAACCTTTGTCAACTTGACACTATTGATATCTTGGGGTTCATTTTATTTTGGTCAGTATATTTTGGAGCATTTGGCAGCTCCCCTGGTCTGTGCCTTCTGGATGCCTGTATTATACCCTTTTTTCCAGTTGGGATCCTCCTCCCCCAAATTGACAAATAATCATTTTGGAGGCCACACTGCCCCTTATTGAGAACCCTATTCTACACCATTAATAGAGAAATAGTTGTAGAGAGGCTAGAGAAACATGATTTTATTGTAAGCAAAAGAAGAAACAAGCAGAAAACTTTAAAAATTGTAAATATGTACTCCATGACCTACATCTAGGCCAGTGATAAATTTTCAAATAGAGGCATGTATGTCAGTGCATGCCTGTAATCCCAGTAGTTAGAAGGTTGAGGAAAGAGGACCATGAGCTGAAGAATTTGTTTCAAACAGCAACAATACAATATTCGCAAGTAAATACACAAATAAGTTGAAGTGCCCTTGTTCCATTTTTGTATAATTCAGCCATCTCTATAAAATAACCTGATGAAGATGTTTTGTTTTATGGTTCAAATCCCAGTTTACAACTCAGGGAAATTGGTGCTTTCAGACTTTCTATTCTCTTCAGCATCAATCTATGCCTATTTGGCATAGAATACATTCTCCTGTTGGCTTTGGCAAGTAATAAACACTCATCAATACTTCTTTTTCCCTAGACACTTATTTGAAGAACTTGGCAGCCATCACCTCTAGGTGGAATTACATAGCACAAGGTGTGTTTGCTGTTCCACACATCCACTTGTGCCTTTCCATCTCCTCATTTCTCCAAACTCTACGTCTTACTAATTCACTTGGTCTCAGAAAATATTGGTCCCCACAGCATAGTCTGGTTGACTTCTTCAATCACGTTTTCATGAAAAGCATGCCTGCCTGACCTTTCTCAAAATAAACTCCCTCTGCACAGCACCCGTGTCTCTAATTCAGAAAATCTGTTTCTGAATGGCATCAGGGAGGATCAGTCTATGCTGGAAATGATATCACATAGAGGGACCTCAGACAGCATGAGGAACCTTCAGTGACTCTGGTTCCAAGGACACCATAAACCCTTTCCTAGAGCCTTTCAGCACTGGGGAGTGACTCGTTTGTCAAAGCTTGGGAAGGGGCAACCTCGCCCTCCGCAGGTGAGGGAGCTTTTACGCCAGGGCCTTCTAGACAGACTCTGAATGGTCCATGCCAGTTCTCCCAAGGGCTCTTCCCATGGCCCCCTTCATTTCCTTGTTGCGGAAACTATAGATGATGGGGTTGCAAATGGGAAAGATGAGGGTGTAGAGGAGGGACAAAATCTTGTCTTTGTCAGGCCCATGAGTGCTGCGGGGATTCATGTAAGAGAACATAGCCGATGAGTATAAAAGGATGACCACGGTCAGGTGGGAGGCACAGGTGGAGAAGGTCTTTCCTCGACCTGAGGGGGAGGCTTTGCTGAGGATGGAGGTCAGGATGCGGATATAGGAGATGACCACAAGCACTGTGGGGCTCAGCAGCACCACGGTGGCATCAGCAAAGATCATCTTCATGCTGAACTGGACGTCCCCACAGGAGAGGGCGATCACTATGGGGGCCTCACAGAAGAAGTTCTCAACGTGGTTGTCTCTGCAGAAGGGATTCCGGAATGACATGTACTCCAGAAAGATGCCATTGATCATCCCAAAGATCCAGCAAGTACTCACCAGGCTGACACAGACCTGCCGCCTCATGATCTGGGCATAGTTGAGTGGGTGGCAGATGGCAACATAGCGATCATAGGCCATGAAGGCCAAGAGGATGCATTCCGCCACACCCATGGAGAAGACCAAATACATCTGGGTCATGCAGGAGACAAAGGAGACCGTGTGGTTCTTGGTCAGCAGGTGGACCAGCATCTGTGGGATGGTGTTGGTGATGAAGCAGACATCCAGCAAAGACAGGTGGCCGAGGAAGAAGTACATGGGGCTGTTGAGCCTGGGGATGAGGCCGTTCATGGCCATGGCGAGGCTGTAGAGGACTAGGAAGAGGGTGAAGAGGAATGCCCGCGTGTAAGGGGAGCTCTTCTCAAAGCCCACAAGGATGAACTCTGTGACTGTGCTGCTGTTGCTTGCATCCACAGTATGGGCCCTGTTTGAAGATGGAGGACAGGAAAAGCACAGTCGAGATTATTGTAGGGTAATGCAGGGTATTCATTTAAGTCTAGAAAGCCAACCATGAGACAGTGGTAGAAATCATTTTGGAACTCATTAATGTCTAGTAAATTGGAAGCGTAATTGAGTAGTAAAAATGACAGATCTAACCTGTAATTCTAGCTATTTAGGATATTGAGATCTAGAGAATTGTAGCTAGAAGCCATCCCTGGCAGAAAAGTCTTTGAGACTCCATCTCCAATTAACTAACAAAATCTCAGACTAGATGCTTCACTCAAGAGATAGAATGCCAACTGTGAGCAAGAAAGCAGAGTGTGCAAGGCTTTGAGTTCAATCCTAGTTCTAGCATGCACACATTCATGCATAAGCACATGCGCGCACACACACACACTCACTCACACACACACACACACACTCACACCAGGGTCCCCAGACTCTGTTATTAAAATTACTAAAGATCGGGCTGGGAAGATGGCTCAGTGGTAGAGCGCTTGCCTTGAATGCATGAGGCCCTGGGTTCGATTCCTCAGCACCACATAAGCAAAAAGAAAAAAGCCAGAAGTGGCACTGTGGCTCAAGTGGTAGAGCGCTAGCCTTGAGCTGAAGAGCTGAGGGACAGCGCCCAGGCCCAGAGTTCAGGCCCCACGACCGGACCCGAAAAAAAAAATTACTAAAGATCAAGAAGGTTAGGATTACCCTTTACAATAAGCTTACCTTCTTCATGAATTTATTTAAAAAAGTAGTAAATAACAAATAATGAGAAGAAATTCCAACATTTTAAAATTCACACACATTATTATACAGATCAATTAATATGGAAAAGTTCTCAGTCCTACGTTATGTTCAAATCACCAGATGATTTGCCAAGTCTTTCTTATCCCTTAGCCAAGTGAAAACACTCATATACCACAGCAATTGGTGCCAATAAAGCATGGCAAAAGTAAATGTGCTCCATTTAAATGATCAAGTGTAAAATTTAGATTTGCTGAAATGCAGCAAGTCTCTGTCAGGAGTTTGGTGGTATTGTGGGAAAAATGAACCGAGTATCTATTGTACAAGACTAAACTCTTGGCATCCTAGGTATTTGTTGTTTTTCCTCAATGGTGGTCTCATTGGACTCAAATATGAGGGGGATACCAAGGATCTACTATGCCTGGTTTGGTCAGGCCCTCTGTTACAAGGCCTTCAATATTAAAAGATTAGCCACTTTTGCATTCAGAGGTGAGAGAGAGAAAGAGAGAGAGAGAGAGAGAGAGAGTGAGAGAGAGTGAGAGAGAGAGAGCGAGAGCGAGAGCACTAACTATGCCTGTGGCCTGTATCAGATGAAGAATGGTTTAAGGAATGGAGGAATGGAGTGAGTTGAAGGGAGAGCATGGCACTTGTAGTGTACAGAAGATCACAATTAAGAAGTAGTTGTGAGGCATTTAAAGGTGTATATTGATAGAAGAAAAATATGGTGAGTCGTGTGTACCTGCTTTAAGATGGTGAGTAGCATGAAGTTTCAGAACAATAGAAGCATTCCAAGTCTTAGGACTATTTCTCCTGGGAAAGTAATTTGCACAATTCTGGAAACAATCGTGTCAAGATCTACCTAGTAGTTCAGCTTTCCCCAGATTCATCCCCCCCCCCCCCCCCCCCCCCGCCACTAGTCACTGCTGCTACCCACTCTGTCACTGCTACTCCTTGAAGTTCTAGATTCCCTTTAGTTATGCTCTACTGGCAGTGTCTAGGCAGTATCCTCCTCACTTCAAGTGGTTCTTAGATAAAGGACTTCTGTTAAATGTCCACAGATGGAATTGAAGGAGAGATTCTACTATTTCCAGTGTGGCTGGGAATCCTGCACTCAGTGGACATGTTGAATGTCTCAGTGACTTAGAATTCAAGAATCCTGGGGATTGTTTTCTTTTGTTCTGGTCCTTGGGCTTGAATTCAGGACCAGGGCTATGTTTCTTAGCTTTTTTTTTTCCTCTCAAAATTTGTGCTCTACCACTTGAGTCACAGCTCCACTTATTGCTTTTGCTAGTTAATTGGAGATAAAAAGTTTCAGATTTTCCTGCCCAGGCTGGCTTCGAACTATAGTTCTCAGATTTGTGCCTCCTCAGTAGTTAGAATTATAGGCATGAACCATTGGCACCCAGTTCTGGGAGTTTCTTAAGGAGATATTGAAACCTAACCCAACAAATCATTAAGAAGTTCAAGAATTTACTTTGCCACGTACAGTATTCTTTGATACCCAACATTGACTGTCTCATTGGATACTATTGCCAGCAACGCAAGCAGGCATTTATCTGAATAAGTAGGATAATTTATTGGTAATAATAGCCTACCTCATTCTGCTTTTCTGCTGACAATGACATTTGTCACCAAATTACTCTGGCAAGTAACAGAGAAGATCTCATGATATTTAAAACATTGCTTGTCCAAGGAGGATGGTCTGTCCTAGTGGTCTGCTCTGGAAGAGAGAAATGTCCACTGATATTGTTAGTTCTTTACTATTTTTTTTTAATTTTATTTTATTTTATTTGTGAACATACTGTACAGAGGGGTTACAATTGCATGGGCAGGATAATGCGTACGTTTCTTACCAAGCATTGCAGCCTAGTTCTTTACTATTAATAATGAATGTTTACAAGAATTACTGTACATGTGTACAGCAATTGGTAATAAGATGTGAAATATTTCATGCCCATAAAAGCTGCTTGTTGCTGAATAATCTTATTCTCTACATTTATGGTTTTTGTCTCCATCCTTGACTTACAAACTACACACACCCCTGTTAGTTGAAGAAATATTAACAACAAAAGAAAAGTGTTTAGTTTTTAGCTTGAGACAAACCCATATTTCTCTGTAAAAGAAAAACCCTTGACCTTATGACTATGATTTCTGAAACAAATCTTTTAAGAATGAGCACTAAAAAGATAATTTACCAGCTGGGTACCAGGGGCTCACACCTGTAATCCTAGCTACTCAGGAGGTTGAGATCTGAGCATCACAGTTCAAAGCCAGCCCAGGCAGGAAAGTCCATGAGACTCTTATCTCCAATAAACCACCAGAAAATGGAAGTGGCGCTGTGGCGCAAGTGGTAGAGTGCTTGCCTTGAGCTAAAGGGCTGAGGGACAGAGCCCAGGCCCAGAGTTCAAGCCCCATGACTGACAAAAAAAATATCATTTACCATGATCAATTTGGTTCCATTTTATGGATGCAAGTATGGTTCAATAAACACAAATCAATAAACATAATGTGGTGCCTAACCAGACACAAGGATAAAAATCTTATGCATTTACAAAAATGCCTTTGACAAATATTCAACATTGTTTTATAATAAAAGCTTTGAAGAAGCTAAGAATAGAAGAATTATACCCAAATATATATATAGAAAAAACTACACAGAATAGATGTATAGCCAACATCATACTATATAAGGAAAACCTGAAATAATTTCCTGTAAACTCAGAAATGAGACCATGAGGGCTACACTCCTCACTCTTACTTGATATTAATAATATTAGTGGTTTTGTCTCACTAGAAAAATAAAGCAAAAGAAAGAAATTATAGAGTTTCAAAAAGGGAAGGAAGAATCAAATTCTCCTTATTCACAATGTTATTATTTCAAATGATCAACATTGAACATGTACAATGTGAGCATGGAAATGTGCATTAAAGCCACAGTGGAATATAACCTCACCCCTTTTAGAAGTGTTGGCAAGAATATGGAGAAAAGCAAACCTTTGCACACTGTTGGTGTGGATGAAAATTGCTTCAACCATTAGGCAAAACATTGTAGAGGCTCCTGAAAAAATTAAAAATAAATTGACCATATGATCCAGCAGTATATATCTGGCTATATATTGAAAGAAATGAAATCTGTATATTAAAGATATAATTCCACTTAATTTCAATGCAGCATTATTTACAATAGTGAAGATATAGGATCAAATGACAGCTATCATTACAGGAATAGTTTTAAAATGTGGTATATAAATTCACACATATATATACCTATACATACATGAAGAAATAACTAGTCATTTAAAAGTATTAGAGTCGCAGGGCGCCAGTGGCTCACGCCTGTAATCCTAGCTACTCAGGAGGTTGAGATCTGAGGATCACAGCTCAAAGCCAGCTCAGGCAGGAAAGTCCATGAGACTCTTATCTCCAATAAAACCACTAGAAAACTGGAAGTGGTGCTGCGGCTTAAGCAGTAGAGTGCTGGCCTTGAGCTGAAGAGCTCAGGGACAGGGCCCAAATCCAGAGTTCAAGCCCCATGACCGACCAAAAAAAACTATTGGAGTCTGTCAGTAGGGAGAAGAGAGATGAAACTAGAGGACATTATCCCATTATCCTGAGTGAAGTAATCTGGGATGAGGGGAGCTGTTTATTAATGGGCACAAAACTTCACTTGGGGACAATAAATTCAAGAAATCTGCTTTAGAGCATGTTGACTATACTTGACCACAATATATTGTATAATCTTAAATATGGGAGAATACATTTTACATGTTTTTATTAGTAAAGAACTATGCCATAGAAAATAGGTTAGTTTTTAACCATATTTTTCAACATATACTAGATTACAATATTACAGTGCACACTATCAATATAAATAATATTCTTTTGTTAATGAAAAGCAGAATTCTAAGGCTTACTGAGTCAAATTTGGGTCAGAAATTGAAATGACTTTGTGATTCAAGGTAAATCACTTACAAAATGTTTTCCCCTGACCACTTAATCCTTTGGCTTCTAGATCAAATCATTTTAAAATGATTTGGAAAGCTGATGTATAAATTAAAAATATAGAATATTAAGTGTTTGTGCATTTAGAAAATGCACCCAAAAGTTAAGCTCATCATATATAAGAGGCAGTGATGCCCAGCACAAAGGAGAGTAACATACTGATAGAAGACTTACATAGAATATGACTCAATGTGTGGGGTTGGCTGGCAGAGTCTCCACTTCTTTTTTCCTCTAAAATGAAGA